ATTATCGATTACAAGTACTTTTTTAATAGTAATAAAAGTCTATAAGAATGAATTTCAGCATGAATCATTATATGGAGCACTGCACCAACCATGAAATGAATCATGAATCCTGCCACCAATGACAAAATGTGAAAAGAGACTGGCCTAGATCAGCAATAGAAGAGGACGACTAAAGAAGTGAAATGACAGAATTTCAAGAGGAACTATTCCCATGTGTGTTTGCTCAGTCAGGATGAATAATGTACTCATGAAGGCGTTAATGAGATTTAAAAATAATGGTCATTACCCGCGTTACTCATTAGGTATAAAGCCTGGCATGGCTCGAGCCCGAGCTTTTCTCGTTTTCCAGTGGCGTCGCGCGCGGCTACTGTTGATACTACTCCACTAGCAATTCCGCGTTTTTCGTCCTTCGTTTAGCCAAGCCTCGTGAGAGGGAACACGCACAAACACCGAGTCACCGACGAATTTACTCGGGGCAAAACAATGCCACGGAAGAAAACTCATTATACCTACCCTCCATTATAATCTAACGCTCCTTCCGCCGTGTCTACTTCGGATACACTTACATTTCTCTACCACCAGGTGGCGCGATGTTTCATTACGGTGATTGATACCACCGCTCGACTTATGATCCCTACAGTAATTCTTCAAACACTTATTAGAATTAATTTAATACGTTGATCGATACAACAACCCCAATTTTAATTTTTTTAATAATAATTGAATAACAATTTTATTAAAATTGAATTTTTTTACGATTTTTTTTTAATAAGATTGCAATTATAATTTTATTTCAATTTATTTTTAGGGGAACTTGATCTATGCTGGGATGGCCTCTGGTTGGGAAGAAGAGTCAGCATATTTTTGCCTGGCACGCACATTTCCCAAGGAGACAAGTGGGTCAGCCACTTGTTTTTGAATTGCCATTCGGTATTCTATACATTTCAGATGGTCCATTTTCAGGGAATCGCCCTTAGGGTGGCAATTTAAATTGGAACACGTTTGAGTACATTTTCAAAAATCTCGTTTTCAAAAATACGACACTGGCGATGTATGTAAAAAAATATGTAATACTCTGAGAAATGAATTTGATTTAAGAGTACGTATACATAACCTGTACTTTTCTTTTTATTATTCCTGTGAAAACTTCTAACTGTTGCGTTTCGATTTGAATCAATGAAATATGTCGAACGTCGGGGGAAACATAATTTAAGGAATGACAGCTGTTCGGTCAACGATGGAGGATCGATAGCCCAGATGTTAGCAACGAATTTCGTATAGGGCGAGTGAGTATCGATAGGAAGCATTTTCCATATTCACCTACTACGGGTGAATTTATATTCCTGAAGCCCCGGGCTCCGGTCACTGGTTAGCTCGATTCAAATCAGTCCACGCTTACGGCATTTTCTATTCTTTTCACATTAATATTCATTCCGATCACGCACCGAACTTTAACGTTTCAGATTTGTCTCGATCCTTCCTCTTATCTTCTCTATTAATATTCACCTAGACTGCTCAGGCTACGTTTGTAAATGTTCAAATATTATTAAACGAGATATCAATCATACGACAATTGTTCATAGCCCCAGCGTCCGGATTCCGAGCCAACGCTCCTGATTGGCAGATCGCGCCAACCGAGCGCTCTGATTGGTCGCGGTTTTTTGTTAATAACTCAGCTACGCCTCGGACAACTTTTTCGCTAAGGAAAATATTGTTTAATATAATATATGAATATGTAAAATAGTATAATTATATATAAATATATAAACCAGAATAATAATATATAAATATATAAAACAGTATAGTATACATCCTTATATATTTATATAGTATATAAACATTTATTTTCGTTTTACAAATGGTTTCTCTGGTATAACATGGATTGTCGAGAACAGAGATTCGGTTTTGGAACTTTTGTCAGGATGTAGTTGTAGTTTTTCCTCTCGAGAACTGGGGCAGGAGTCAACTGGGCCACCAAACGGTTTTCCCATATTTCCACTGACTACAAAAGTCCTGTCCCGTCCTATTTTCGATTCGAAAACGCTAATAACACACGTCCCGTCGAATATTCATTACGTCCTGTATCCCAGATTCGAGGTAACTCGATCAATTCACAAAATTCTTCAAAAAGTTTCACGATCTTTCCAAAAATATTAAATATTATTTTTTTTAACAATTGTCGATTTACGTTTATGTTAAATAAATTTAATTGTCATTACGATTAAAATGTAAAATAATCTTGGTTGGTCAGAACGTGCATTGTGTGCGTTATCTGGGTGACGAGATGCCCGGAGAAGAGCGAGCGACAGGTGTGCCGTGAAGATTCGCGAGACAAGGCCTTGAGGGGAAGAGGAGGGGGAGGTTTGGAGGGCGGAGGAGGAGACCGATAGCGTAGAATGTAGTCGCGGCACGACGTCTCGCAGTAATTAGGCAAGCTAATCACCCTCGGGCATGTTATCTTAATGGCCGCCGTTACGCCGTGACATCACAACTACCCCCTGTCTATCCACCGGTTTAATTGCTCCAATAGGTTCGCGTGTAGAGAATATCGGGGCGTCGCGTCGCGTCGATGGTTCGTCGACAATAGCCACGGGACGCTCCAGTTAGCTATTCCCGACCGCCAGAGGACGCCGTCGGGGATTCAAACTTATTACTAAACTAATTTATTGTTCTTACTGACAACAAAAACAAAACGCAAATCCAGAGGCAATTCCTTCGTAATTCTGTTTTTGCTTGAATTTTCAATAATTTTTGGATGAAGTTTGACATTATAGAAAAATGTTCCAGCGAGTCGAAATTTGGATACGTCGTAGAAAAATCCAAGAATTACTCTGCCTTACTCAGCAATTACTCTATTAGTTACTATAGATTCCCTGTCAGCAATTTTTACTGAGTCAATTATTTTAATTAAATTGGATAGTAAGTCATAATAGTCAGCAATTTTTATTAAGTCAATCATTGTAATTAAATTGAATAGTAAGTCATAATTCCCAGCAATTTTTATTGAGTCAATTTATTATATTCCCTGTAGCAATTTTTATTGAGTCCATTATTTTAATTAAGTTAAATAGTAAGTCATAATAGTCAGCAATCTTTATTAAGTCAAAGATGAAGATTTGATAAATCGAAAGGAATAGTAGAAGATTTAAGACAGACACTGGCGGTTGCTTCGGCGCGGGGGACAAGATAATTCCTGCAGCAAGAACCGTGGCCGAACAAAACGGGTAAGAATGCAAATAACGAGCGCAGTTATCCGTTGTATTAACGGAGGTAGCTCGTTGCCCGGCGGAAGATAAATCGCCGGTAGTCCCACGGCCAAACGAGTACACGTGGGAAAGCAATTCCGTGTCCCCGCGGGAGCAACCGTTGGCTGCAAGGATACGTCGCGTTGTTCGCAGCTCGTGTCGCCAGTTTTCTGGCCGAGCTTAATCCTAGCCTTCCACCGAACTCACTCCCCACCCTACCCACCCCAACTCCGGACCAACCCTTCTTCAGTCATTGAATTCCGTCCGATTTTACAGGACATTAAGACGTACCCGTCGACACGTAAAAACGACGCTACACGCAAACGCAATTAACTTGATTGTACATCTCTGTTCACTTGTTCCTAGGGTACAGAGTCATCTGATGAATTGCATAGTGAATAATCGTGTAATGAATCTCACAGTGGACCATGATTTGTTTTAATGAAATTATTCAACAAACAAATCTGATGCGGAATCATATAATGACTTCCGATTGAGAATCATATAATGATTTCTGATAAAGAATCATATAATGACTTCACACTGAGAATGACATAATGATTTCCCTCTGAGAATCATACAATGATTGCTGACTGAGGATCACATAATGATTTCTGACTGAAAATCATATAATGACTTCTGACAGAGAATCATGTGATGACTTCTGACAAAGAATCACATAATGACTTCTAACTGAAAATCATATAATGATTTCTGATTGAGAATCATATTATAATGACAGAGATGTAATAAATTATGTATATTAAGTAATCATGTAATGAATCTTACAGTGAATCATAAATAGCTTTAAATAAAATTACTAAATCAAGAAATCTGCTAGTGAATCACAGAATAAATTCTAGAACAAATCCTGAATTCCATAAAATCCTGAAATCCATAAAACCTCCTAACAGATATTACAATAAATTGTCTATTAATACTATTTTAACTAATTTTATGTGAAAAAATGTTGAATTGGTAAGTAGTGAATTTTCGAATCGCCATGTCATTTCCCCGGAACAAAATGGTCGACAGGATGCACGTGACAAACGTCTGAAAAACACATTTTGTAACGAAAGAGCGCGTCAGCGTTTTCGCGTGGAATATTTGGTAATTTCGGAGATAAAACCGAGCGACCAAGAGAGAGAAAGAGAGACAGAGAGAGAGAGAGAGAGAGAGAGAGAGAACAGAGAGATGGAGGGAGGTGGTCCAGCGAACCGGGAATGATGTAATTACGTAGTTAGCGGGACCTCACGTAACGGCTTGACATCTGTCTTCTGGCTCGAGAGACGGCCGCGCCCGGTCGCCCCGCGTTTCAAGGAGCATTTTTCATCCGACCGGATACCGGCTCTGGCCCTCGTTATTTCCTGGAGAGATTAGAACACCCGGCGGGAACACCCGGAACCATCTCCCGCTAATTACATTGCGATCGGGGCGCACTCGAAAAACTGCGCCTTTTTCACCGTTCCAGGATCTCACCAAATCTTCCTCGACTCCTCGAGGCCGAAGGTCGAGTGCAACACGATTTTCTAACGAGCTTTACTTCCACACAGAAGCGTTTATTCAACTTTTATAGGGATTTCATGATTACAGTCTAAATGATCAAATGATTAATCAGAATTAATGAGTAATTGATTATGCCAGTGGCAAAAGAATATAATTGAAATTGGCAACACTTACTAGTTACTAGATAGTAGCATTTATTACTAGATAGTAGCATTTATTACTACATAGAAGCATTTATTACTAGATAGCAGCATTTGTTACTAGATAGAATTTATTACTGGATAGAAGTATTTATTACTAGATAGAAGCATTTATACAATTCTTATAGAAATTCAACTATTTGAGTTTAAATATTAAACTGATAAAATTACTAGTTAGAAATAGTTATTAATTGATTAGGTATAAAAAAAAAATAAAACTTAGCAATCAAGATGTGCTTCTTCCTACCATTAGGAAAATACGAGAACCAATATTAATAATTTTGCAGTACTTAAACCCAGGGAAACGAGGAATATTAGTAATTCTACTGAATTCCCTAGACTCTTCTCAGGTATTCAAACAGGAATCGATCGATTGTTGAAACGTCGTGTCAACATTTATCTTCGAAGGGTGGCTAACAGAAAAATTAGCTTCGCCGAGGGAAGAAAACCTTAGCGAGGACGTCAGATCTGCATAATTCCTGAACGAGAAAGAAGAAGAGGAAGAAGAAGAGGAGGAGGAAGAAAATGATCGTAACAGGGGGGATAGGAATAACAGGCAGCGAAGGGTAACGACGGAAAACAGGGGGGGTAGCGGGAAGATAAGCACGTGGTGGGCGGAGGGACTCCTGAGAAGTCTAATCCACATTCATCAGGCTTATAAAACACCGGGAGGAGCTTCCACGATGCCGAGTTACCTCGGCCACTGCGTATACCCGGTGAGAATAAACCCCTGTCTCTCTCTCCCTCTCTCTCTCTCTCTCTCTCTCTCTGAACTCGGGTAACATCGTTACTGAGAGGATAGCCGTCTACGTTTTCACATTGGCATTCATATTACAGAAGAACGGCGACGATAACGAACTTTATTTAGGACAGCTGCGAGCTGTAATCAACATTCATTAAAACTATCCTTCAGTCAGATTATGGAATCTCCAGCAATTTTTGATTAGCACTATATAAACCATTTATTTTACTTCAATTGTTTCTTGTCCTATTTTAAAATGCAATTTCTCTATTTCATATGAAATCTGAAATCAAAGCTGTGGTCAATATTCCTTAAAGATATCCCTCAATCAGATTATAGAATTTCCAGCAATGTGTCAGCAACTAATAACCAAACCGACGAGAAACGAAAGACGAAAGCAATTGCAATTGCAA